AAGATGATAAAGTTGTTAAGTTGATAAGTTATAGATATGTGGGTTAGATACATGTCTTAATTATAATATATAGAGACTAAAAGAGAGTTAAGATGTTTTCAAACTTAATATCCAATTGTACGGATCTACATTGTGTTGAACTCTTTAGTAAACAAGATGGCTTCTGCACGAGTATGTTATTTTCAATTGTCTCTTCTAAGTTTTATGTGGTATCTGTGTGTGGACAAGATCGAGTCACATATATAAAGCGACCAATCGAGTAAAGTATCAAGTTGAAAACTTAGTCTTTAACCTAATATCAGAGGGTTATGGTATTTAAAGGATAGTCGGTGGACTAATCACATAGGTAGCTTAGTGTTACAGACTAATGTCATGGTAAACTTATATCCAAATTGTTCTATCTTGACATAGTACCATATTTCCTTATTTTAGTGGTGAAACTTGAGAAATCAATCTAGCTTATACTAGTCGTTGTTTATGACCTTAGTGTTAGCCGTTGTTTCTAGTATTATACCAGCCTTTGTGATTTAGTAGGGTCAAACTATTTAAATTGTTTACCCTGTAGGAGATCTCTGTAGTTGATATGTGTGATGCTGCATTAGATGTGATATATATGTTGATATGTTTAACATGTTGTGAGATGTTAAGTTGTTGTAGTGATGTGTTGTTTTGTTGTAAGTTGTAATATATTTGATATGATAATGTTGTTTATAAGTTGTTATGTTGAATTCTTTTCACAAGTTTACCCTCTATTTTCCTTGCGGTTAGGACTACGACGATCATACTTGATATGAAAGAAAGACAAAATTAGTAGGATGGCTTGCACAGTTGGAGGATAATCATGCTAGAGGTGACTAGTTTTATTATTGTTAATTATTCCTATGTAGTTGAATTTTGTGTAGACATTGACCAACATTTAGGAAGAATGGTGTTAAGCATGAGATGTCAAATAAAAAATTTGTTGTTTTATTAACTAAATGTTGAATATATGTTAGTAGATTTGATTGCTCACATGATATAAGTTGTTGTATGATTATTATATTTTATACATTGATCTAAGATGATGTATATGGATGTTTTAAACCTTTGAAAGTTGTAAGTTGTTAAATGATGAAATATAATAGAGTTGTATGTTGTGAAGTGTTGAGGTGATTGTGTTGAGAATGTTTAAAGCATGTAATTGAGTTGTGTTGAATTAACTTAAGACTAAAGGAAGAAGTTGTTTTAAAAGTTGAATATCTCATTGTGAAGATATGGTGTTGTGGTGCTCTACAAACCTAATTGTTGAAAATCCTTCTTGAGAAATTGACTATTGAAATAGAGTTTTGAGTCTCCTTTATGACCTTAGTTGATATTGTATGACGGTCAGGTCAAGTCATACGTGTATAAGGCGACCAATGTAGATTTGTATAAGAGCAAGGTCAATCTATATGTGCACAAAGTGACCAAATCAAGGTATGAGGTTGGGGGCCGAAATTCCTAACTAAGTACTAGAAGCGACACAATATTTGGAGGGTAGTTGATGGGTTAATCCCATATTAGATTTAGTTATGCATGCTAAGGTCCTGGTAGGCCCACACCAAGCTATCTTACCTTAACAATAATACTAAACTTTTCTAGTTTAAGTGATGAAATCCGAAAAACCATGTTATGTTGTAGATTTTTATCCAACTTTGTTGTTGATTTAACAAGTCCAAAAATATCACATTGTTAAGTTGGTTTGGTAGAGTCAAGCCACTTAAACTACTCACCTATCTTGTAAGAGATCTCTTAGTTGAATGTGTGACGACACATATAATTGTTATGTTGTGCATGTGATGTGATGATATGTTGTGTTGTTCACATGCTATGTTGAGATGTTGATCAGTTGCATAGTTGTTTTATAAGTTGAACATGTTGTCATGTTGTTAAGTTGTAAAATTGTGTTGATCTATGTTGTATTTTAAGTTGACATGTTGTAAATTGAAGTGTGGTTGTTGGTATGTTAAAGTTAAAATTTGGAGGTATAGTTCTATTTTTTTTATCTCTATACTTGTTATGTTATTTTCAGTAAGCTTACCATTGTATATTTTCTTGTGATTGAATTACGATGATCATACTTGATATGTGAGCATGATAAATCAGAGGAAAAGTACTATTTAGAGCCATGTTGGAAGATGGCTAAGTTATTTGGATGCTACACTTTAGTAACTATTTTGTAGTGTTACTTGACTGACAACCTAATATTTTGTTTTTAATAATGAATTATTGTATATATATGTTTGTATAATTATAATTGTAGTCTCATTGATGAATTTATTTTATTATCTCAATTGTTGATAAAATTTTTAAAGTAGATATTATCACACATATATCAAAGTATTGCTTGTATGTTAACTCTGAAAAATTAAATTTATGTTTTTCACTATTATAATTATTGAATTATAAAGTATAAGAACCTGCTATGTTGTAACAATAACAAATATTAATTGAATCATAATAATAACATATAATAAAATATTAATAAATAAATTATTCTTATTAAGTATGAAATATAAATAATTCGTACATAAATAAGTAGAAAAATATATTTTAATAATCACTTGATGTAGAAAGATTTGAGGAAGGTGAGAGGGGGACTAGCCATGTTATATCCAATAATCCAAATCTACTCCACCAACCTTTTAATAATATAGATAGATCTGCAGGGCTATAGTTAATGAATGAGTCGTTAAAATAAAGACTCTCAAAATAGTAGAGTCTGTTTATTGTTATTCTTTATTAATTCTTTATAATTTTTATTATATATTTAAGTAAAACTATAAGTTTATTGCTATTCCCTTTTTATTTATTTTAATTAAAAACATATAATTTATTATATTTTTTCTTTATTGTTTTCTTCTTCTTTCTAACTCTCTTTTCCCCCGACACGTACGTACACCTAAAAAAATGCGATATACATTTTAAGATTTTCAAATTTTATATTTTATTATATATATACAATTTATCAAAATATCAATAGTTAACATTTTAATTAATATATGTGTATATATTTTTTTCAATATAAATGGCAGTTGGCCAAAAGCAATATAGCATTTATCTTGGTAATTTGTTTTTCTTAAAATGTACTTTTCCATTTATAATGGACATAACAAAATGTTTTTTTTAACTACTATCCACGAGATAGGAACAAAAAGTATTTTTGTATAATTAAAATTGATAATAAATATTATTTTTAAATATAAATTATATTACAATAAAGAAATAATTTTAAACATATATATTATATTTCATTTTTCAATGAATAATCTAATTTTTTTATAAAGTTATTTTAATTATTTTTAATTTAAAAAATATTTTAAAATTTAATTTACAAATAACGATAACTTTTAATATTTTAATATTAAAAATTCTTTATTATTATAACTGATACAAATTTTAATATTTCTAAAATTTAACATTAGCTAGTATTTGTGTTTTTCATAGGTTAAATACTTATTATATATAATTAAAATTTATAATAAATTATATATAAGAATAAATAGTATATTTAAATATAAAATATATTTAAAATTTATATAAATAGATATTTTAAAATATATAAGTTGTGTTCTTGAAAAAATATAAATTATATTAAAATTTAAGATAAATAATTTATATTACAACATAAGATTATTTTTAATTATCGATAATTTATTTTTAAGAATATAAAACTTAATAAATAAATAAATATAATAAATAAAATTGGAATAGATAAAAAATTTAAAATTTTTTAAAAATGCTCTTATTAAAAAAATAACCCCTAAAAAAATAATTATTCGTATTTAGTATATAAGAGTTGATGATTGATATAATATTAAAAAATATTTAATAACTTTAATTTTAAATTAACAATTTAATCACTTAAAACAAATAAATTGATTTTTTTTCATAAAAAATATGATTTATAAAAAAAATTCAAAACAAAAACTGACTTCAATACGTTATTATGTTTTGTTTCATCGGTTATACATTTTTTATAATTCATCAGTTAAAATAAAATAATAATTGATTAAAAATAATTTAAAACATTTCCCCCATTTTTTTTTCTGTATTTCTCTTATTTTATTTGTGATTCAAATATAATTTTAATTAATGTAAAATGAGTGTATTTTTATTTTTATAAAAAATTCTTTATTTGTTATTTTCTAACATTTGTAATCGTTATTTTTTATTTTTAAAAACATGTAAATTTTTAGTTTTATTTTTATCTTTTTAAAATCTAGAGCTACTATTTTTATTCTAATATTTATTTTAAAGTTGATGAATAATATTTTCTTTAAGAAAATATAAAAAAAAATAAAAGTACCGTACTAACAGGATATCAGTATTACTATAAATGATGATTTGACTATATAATATAGTATATAAAAAAAAATTAAATATGACATAATACTAAAAGTTAAAAACAATAATTTTAATTTAAAAATGAAAAACGAAGGTGAGAAGTAGAAGCATGGGTTAAATGAAAGAATTAGGGTTAAATGAAAGAATTAGGACTCCCTCCGTTTTTTTTTCGTAATCGTTTTGTCAGAATTTGTTGTTTTTTTTTATTGTCATATTACTAAAATTAATAAATTATTAATTTTTTTTCTCCATTTTTACCCTTAATAATTAATACATGTTTCTTGAATAATGTGTGTATTTATTTTTAATGTCTACCTAATTTTTCTCTAACTACTCATATAAAGTTAATGTGCATTTATAAGAGCAATATGTTTCCAACAAAAAAAGGACAATTATTTAATGGAGTAGTTCAACAGTCTAAAAAATATTAAAAAAAAAGATAAAATAAAAAAGTAAATAATAAATATTTTAAAAATTAAAATATCAATAATTTCCTTAATTTTTGTGCAAAATCTTAAATGATTATGAAAGAAAAAACGGGTGTAGCGAGAAATGAAGAAAATATAATATTAATGTGTATTTTATCCTTATCGAAATCATAGTAAGACTTGTTTTTAAGAGGAGGGTTTGTCCGAAAAATTACTTTGTTGTTTGTCCATCTCCTCTTTCTCTTTCACTTTCCTTCTCTCTCTCCGTCCAAAACTGACAAGACCCAGCGCTTTTCTGGGTCTATGCCTTCTTAACTTAGTGGTTCCGATTCTTCCTCCACTTCCAACTTGTCCGTTTCTCATTCTCCTCAAATCTCATCTCACTCCTAATTCCTTCACATTCCTCCATTCTCTTTTCCATTTTCTACTTCCAGTCAATTCAACCCCTCCCTGATCCAAAGCCCACAACTTCTTTTCTGGGTTTGCCAGATACACATGCCAATCAAAACACCACTTTTCAGACACCCCTTTTGTTGATTTTGGAATACCAAATTTAATATTAAAAAAAGGGGTTCTGGACTTGTGCTCTGGTCTTTGTGGGGATTAAGCAGATCTGCATGTTACCCATTATTTCACAATAACCAAAAGAGGAAGGAAAAAAGGTGTCTGCTTTTTTGTTTTTTTGTTGTTGGTGTTTTTGGGTTTTCCATATAAGAAAATAAAAGCTGTATCTTTCTTTCTTATCTTATCCCTTACCTTAATTGATGACTGAAGCTGGTTTCACTGCCATTTAAGCCATCTCAATTTGAAACTGTGCGAGTGTGATTGTTGTGGGGGTGGTGAAAAGTTTGCTAAAGGAACTCAATTTTGAAGGTGAAGAACGTGGTGTTGTGGGGATTGTGAAAGATTTGATTTTGTTGGTTGTTTCCCACGGTTGTTGTGACGGATCCATCAAGGGAAGAAAGTGGGTGTTGGAGTGGCGTGGAGTGCATTCTGGGCATTCTAAGGGCCCTTAAGATGGGGTCCTGCTTCTCCGTGGAAAGCAGGAGCCCTGGCCCTACTTCGCCCTCTTCATCTTTCAGGAAGCGCAGGAGCAGCTCCAAGAAGAGGCTCGGGTCAAGGGCCTCTTCCTTTGAGTATTGGAGGAATGACCCTCTGCATAGGATCCCTGGGAGGATCTTCCTCAATGGCTCCTCCCAAGTTGCATCCTTGTTCACCCAGCAAGGCAAGAAGGGAACCAACCAGGATGCCATGGTTGTTTGGGAGGTTAGATTGGATTCTTTTCCCTCACTTTGCATTTTCTATATTTGCCCAATAATACCCCTTTTTGTGTAGTACACTTTACTTTGCTATTGCTGCATTTTTCTATATATTGCTGCTTTTACTTTGCTGCATTTTTGCATATGGGTTGTTTATGTTTGTACATATATACTCTGCTTTTGCAATTCTTATGTCGATCCTTGTATAAGTATTCCATTGCCTGCTTAATGTTGATATGGTTGTGACATGATGTTTCCTGATTGATCAAGTAGTGTGTTCAGATGGTTTCTTTGCAAATATGGTTTTGTGCATGGTTTTGGTTGCTGCTAATCCGTAATTCACTGCTACATCTGTGGCTATGAATGGATGTTTGTGGTTTTGATTTGATTGGGATATTGTGCATAAATGATCCAATGTTTTATTCTGCTGGGATCACTATATGAAAGGTGATGGATGATTTAAGTCATGGAAGATCTTGGATGTACTTTTCCCTTTCACATAATAGGGAGTCACATGAATATTGATCTGAAGCCCTTTAACATATTTGAAATCTGTATCTTCATCTTTTATTTTTCCTTTGCTATTCTTTTGATTTTCTGCCTTTATTTTATTTATTATGAATGTGGGAGCTGGGGGGAATGTTTTGGTAGCTTTTTTTTAGACTAGCAAATGTGGATGCTTGCTGTTTTTTTCATTTCTGTTGAAAACTGTTGAATAGTGTTTAATTGATTCTGTTTACCATATGTTGCAGAACTTTTGTTCTAGACAAAATACAATTTTCTGTGGAGTTTTTGATGGCCACGGTCCGTATGGTCACATGGTTGCGAAAAGAGTGAGGGATTCTCTTCCTCTAAAACTGAATGCCCATTGGGAACCTAATGTATCTGGTGAAGAAGTCCTCAAGGAGATTAGCTTTAATACTGCAGGAAGCATGAATTCAGAAGAGGCTGCCTTTGCTTCTGCTGATGACGAATCCAGGGTATCTGTTGATGTTGACGAAACAGAAAAACACCCAGAAATCTTTCAGACACTTAAAGACTCCTTTTTGAAGGCATTCAAAGTAATGGATAGAGAACTGAAGACCCACCAAAGTATTGATTGCTTTTGTAGTGGGACTACAGCAGTAACTCTGATTAAGCAGGTGTTGGCTTGTCACCTTTAGAAAATTAGCAATTCTCTTGTATATGATATATTTTGTTAGACTTGTCTTCAACTGTAAAATATTTTTCTTCCTTTATAGGGCCGGGATCTTATCATTGGAAATGTTGGTGACTCTAGGGCTGTTCTGGGTACAAGAGAGAAAGATGATTCTCTTGTTGCTGTCCAGTTAACTGTGGATCTAAAACCCAATCTTCCAGGTATGCCTCTCATCTGGGAAATTCTTGCCTATTTTGTTGAACAGTGTCACCAGATTGTTGAGCATCTAACTAGCCATGGAAACTATTAAAATGTTATTGCTTTCTTGTTTAAGTTCAAATGCATATGAAATGCTTGCACACCTCATTTATAACCTACCAAAAAAGCATGTGACGAAAGTTGAAAATTGTTGTGATCAGCTCTATGTCAGTTCCATGAAGATCATTGTTTAGTTGAAATATGTCTCAATTGTTACCAAGTTATTTCGATCATTTTAGGTTTTCCATAAATATCTATCTGTCATGTCCTGTATGCATAAATAGGAATAATGTCTGCATTAATTTCAGCTTGGATGTCAAACATTGAGATGATGCTTTTGATCTGTCAGTTCTTGTCCTTTTGAAATTATCTTATATCCCCTTCATCCTGATTCCTGATTCATTGTTCAATGAAAAATATTCCGTTATAAGCAATTTTTTTTTTCCTCTCCCTAGTTTATTTATACTCATGTCATGATTGGATGGTCTACAATAAGAAATATCATTGGCATGCCACGTTGGTATCCCCAGTATTTTTCTATAAATAGAAAAAAAGAAAAAGAAAGAAATAAAAGGTTAATTTTTTCTGCATTGAAATGTATTCTTGTGTGATTATATGGACATATTCTTGATTACATGTAAATTTATGCAGTTGTGCAAGTCATAAAAGGCCCTTGTAGTACCCTAATTGTATGAGATGTGATACAATAAGCATTTTACCAAAAAATATGGGCTTGCATGTCAAATTTATTCGAGAGCTCTAGAATACATGCTTTTGAACAACTAATCTACATATTAACATGATGAAATAATATTGAAATAAGCCATAAGAAGGATATTTCTAGAATAATTGGATGTCGTAATGGACAAAATTTTACATGTGTAATGTTGGCTATTGTGTCTGCATGTTGTGGCTCATTTCAAGTTGTACTTATCCAGAATCAACTCATTCTTGCTTTCAATTCAAATAGCCATAAAGGAGAAGATTTTAGCCTTTGTAATGCTTTGTATCAACTTGACAGTTCTCTGGTGCCATTTTTCACGGTCTGTCATTGTATCATGTTAGTCTTACCTAGTTTCTTTTCCTCTAACAGCTGAAGCAGAGAGAATCCGCAAATGTAAAGGACGTGTCTTTGCTCTTCAGGACGAACCTGAAGTTGCTCGAGTCTGGTTACCAAACAATGACTCACCAGGCCTTGCCATGGCAAGGGCATTTGGAGATTTTTGTCTTAAAGATTTTGGCCTGATATCCGTTCCTGAGGTGTCGTATAGACGACTCACTGAGAAGGATGAATTTATTGTCTTGGCAACAGACGGGGTAGGAGACCTAAGAACAATGCCATTGCACTTTCCTACAAAGATTTTCATTTTACTTGAAACATCTTTAGATACAAGATAGAAATGTTTTTGGGAGCTTCTTTACTGAAAATAGAGTTATTTCATATAAAGAAACTCTTAAAAACACTTATAAGCTTGTATCCAAACAAAATTTTAGCTTTTTTTTACTTTCATCTCAAATTTGGCGTTTGTTTACAACAGATTTGGGACGTGCTCTCGAACAAAGAAGTGGTGGACATTGTGGCAGCCGCTCCAAGGCGTGCCTCAGCAGCACGAGCACTGGTTGAGTCAGCCGTCCGTGCTTGGAGGTACAAGTATCCGACCTCCAAAGTGGATGACTGCGCTGTGGTTTGCCTCTTCCTGGACTCGGATGCGCCCAAAGTGGTCACTGCTTCCCATGCCAAGTCCAAGGAGCAACCTAGTTCAATCATCCAAGTCCACAACGGCGATGGGGCCGACGTCTCTGGACCGACCGGTCTGGTAAGGTCAGGAACATGCAGGGAGAATCATGAAGAAAGTAACAACAATGAGGGCGAGCCAAATAAGGAAGAGGAAATAGATGTTGAATCAGAAATAGAGTGGTCTGCTCTTGAAGGGGTGTCGCGTGTGAACACACTACTAACTCTCCCAAGGTTTGAACTTGACAAAGAAGACAAGACTGCTGAAGGGATGAGAAAACGCAAATGATCAAATAATGGTTCAAGTTCAAGTTCAAGTTCAGGCAGGGAATGTTGAGTTGAGAATTTCTGGTCTTTTTATATTTGTTTATTTTGTTTTGGTTTTGGTTTCCATCATTATTATATAGATACATTACATACCCTTTTTCTTTTTTGTTCTTTTGAACAATTTATATATTCATGTTCCCACCCAATCCCAATTTATATATCCATATGTTTGGACTTAAGAGAGGATTGGCCCGGCTGTTTTAGTGTGTCTGGAAATCTGTCCTTCCTCTCGTGTGATTAATGTTTTTTTGTAAAATCAAACTCTTCATAATTTCATATTCATACATACCTTAATAATTTATTTATTTTTGATAAAGGGGTGGCTTACTTTTTGCATGGGAAATTTCTAGCATGGTTCATGAGTTATTAAATTATTATGCAAGTTGATGAATGAGAAGGAAATTGGGATAAGGACGCGTAGAGTGGTTAGGTTCATAAATGAAATGAAGTGGCCTAAGTTTTTTGGGGTGGCAATTAATGTGGTAGGCTGTGACTCGTGTTTGCTATTATTTGGTGTGTTGTGTGGCCGGTGACAGCAGCGTCAACATGCGGATCGGGTTCACTGCTAAATCGTGTCATTTCATTTTTATTCAATTCACAATTAAATTACACATCACACGTTAAATTGCATTTTATTAGGGTCTGCAGTTCGTGCATGGTGATTGGTGAGTTTCACCTCAGCAACTTTTTGAAGCAATAAATAGTTATTTTTGAGTTGGTTTTATCATGATTTTTCATTCATCCTCTGCCCATAAATTTCAAAATTTTCTTACCTGTCCAATTTCTAATGAATCAAGATAACCATTCGTTCCGGTATAAATATTTATTATTTGTTCTTCCACGGTAAGAGGAGCTGACTGGGATTGTTTAAGCAACTCGTGCAATTGTTGACCTCTTGCTAATTGATTTTGAGTAGCTTTATCGAGATCAGAAGCGAATTGTGCAAAAGCTTCTAATTCTGCACATTGTGCTAATTCCAATTTTAATTTACCAGCGACTTGTTTCATGGCTTTAATTTGAGCTGCCGATCCTACTTTGGAAACGGAAATACCGACATTAATAGCAGGTCTCATTCCAGCATTGAATAGATCGGCGGATAAGAATATTTGGCCATCTGTAATGGAAATTACATTAGTAGGAATATAAGCTAAAACATCTCCCGATTGGGTTTCCACAATTGGTAAAGCAGTCATACTTCCTTCGCCTAACTGAGAACTTAATTTAGCGGCTCTTTCCAAAAGACGCGAATTCATTTAACTTTCCCATTTTTCCTAATTCTTTATGGTATCAGGAGCTCTTAGGTTTTGACCAAAAAAGAAAACTCAAATAAAGAATGGCAGAAAATTGAGAAGTGCACGGTGAAGAAAGAAAACCAGAGATGACGAAGAAGATGCCATCACCGTATGATCTAAGTTCGAGCGATAACCCAGGAAGTGTAATCACCCAAGTTCAACTGAAGGGTGAGAATTATGAAGAATGGGCTAAGGCTGTTAAAACCTCTCTACGAGCACGATGAAAGTGGGGTTTTATAGACGGCACCATTGAACAGCCCAGATCAGGAACAATTGAATTGGAAGATTGGTGGACTGGGCAGTCAATGTTGGTGTCATGGATTTTGAATACCATTGAACCAACCTTGCGTTCTACAATTTCATACATGGAGACTTCAAAGGAATTGTGGGAAGATATTAAAGAACGGTTCTCAGTTGTTAATGGGCCCAGAATTCAACAATTGAAAATAGAACTAGCCGAATGCAAGCAAGGTGGGATGACAATAGTAGGCTACTATGGAAATCTCAAAACACTATGGGATGAACTAGCAAACTATCAACAGATACCGACCTGCACATGTGGGAACTGCAAATGTGGTATCACAACGAAATTGGAGAAGCGCAAAGAAGAAGAAAAGGTGCATCAGTTCTTGATGGGATTAGACGACTCTCTTTATGGCACAGTACGTTTAAATCTTCTGGCTACTGACCCACTTCCACCTTTGAATCGGGTGTACGCTACATTGGTTCAAGAAGAACGAATGAAGACTATTGCAAGAAGCAAAGAAAAGCGAGCAGAAGTTGTTGGATTGGTAGTACAAACAGCAGGGAGAACAAAGGGACGAAGTGATGGAAGGGAAAAATCCATGTTCTGTTTAAACTGTAATAAAGCGGGACATGATGCAACGAATTGTTTCCAGTTGGTTGGGTATCCAGATTGGTGGGGAGAGAGGCCTCGCCAAGAAACGAAGATAATTGGACGTGGGAAAGGACAACAACAACAAACACGAAGTGGACATCAAAGGCGTGGGAAAGGCATGACTATACGTGCTAATGCTGCTCAAACTTCAAGTGGAGGAACCTCCGTGAAGGTAACAGATGCAGATAAAGCAGGGCTAATGGGTTTAAGCAATGAACAGTGGCAAACTTTGGTAGATCTCTTGAACAATCACAAGGGAGATGCAACTGAAAGAATGTCAGGTAAAGAAACAACGTGGATTATTGACACAGGAGCCTCTAATCACATGACTGGAAATTTAGGGCTTCTGCATAGAACAAAAACTCTGCAGGGATGTCCAGTGGGATTGCCAAATGGAAAGGAAGCTGTTGCAACTAAAGAAGGAGATGTGATCCTTGAAGGAGGACAGAAAATTAGCAAAGTTCTATATGTGCCTAGTTTGAATTGCAATTTGATATCAGTGTCACAATTAATAGATGATGCTAATTGTGTAGTCCAATTCACTAACTCTTTATGTGTTATGCAAGACCGCACTTTGAGGATGCTGATTAGAGTGGGTGAACGAAGAAATGGGCTCTATTATTTTAGAGGAATTCGTCATGAGAAAGTTTTCAAGATGGAAGAAGTTTCTACATTCGATCTTTGGCACAAACGGATGGGCCATCCTTCATTGAAAATTACTCAGATGATCTCAAATGGTAGCAATAAAAACAATATGATAGGGAATAAAGCTTGTGATGTTTGTCAGAGGGCAAAACAAACTAGAGAAAGTTTTCCTTTAAGCAATCGTAAAGCTTCTAGTAGTTTTGAATTAATTCATTGTGATTTGTGGGGACCTTATAGAACCCCATCTTCTTGTGGTGCTTATTATTTTTTAACTATAGTAGACGATTTTTCTCGAGCTTTCTGGGTTTATTTGTTAATTGATAAGAAGGAAGTTTCACATGTTTTGTTGCATTTTATTGCTTTGGTAGAGAGACAATACAATAAGCGAATTAAGATAATTCGGAGTGATAATGGAACGGAATTCACATGTTTGCGAATGAAATTTCTTGAATGTGGAATTGTGTTTCATACATCTTGCACTAGAACGCTCCAACAAAATGGTCGAGTTGAACGGAAGCACAGGCATATTCTTAATGTTGCACGAGCGTTAATATTTCAAGGTAACTTACCAATTTCTTTTTGGGGTGAGTGTGTTTTAACTGCTTGTTATCTGATAAATAGAACCCCTACGCCATTATTAGGTGGAAAGTCTCCCTATGAAGTGCTTAATGGGGAGCCACCTTCATATGACCACTTGAAGGTGTTTGGGTCCCTATGTTACGCTCATGATCAAGGTAGAAAGGGTGATAAATTTGCTAGCCGAAGTAGAAGGTGTGTCTTTGTGGGATATGAACGAGGCAAGAAAGGTTGGAAATTGTATGATCTGGATAAGAATACATATTTTGTGTCTAGAGATGTTAATTTTTTTGAGAATGAATTTCCTTTTATCTTGCTAACTTGTACGAAAACTATGATCAAACCTTTAGAACCTGCACTTGATGTTGACAATGATAGTACACATGATGAGGAAGTGGATGATGTTGAGTTGCCCAACAATGAAAGGGTTGTTGAAGTGAGGGGGGGTTCTGAAGTGAGGAACGCACAAACTAATGAAATGCAAATAAATGAAAGTGAAAGTGAAATAAATAATGAGGAACTTGGAAGAGGGAAAATCTTTTGTATATAACTTGTACATAGTTTTCATTGTATAGGTCACTTTTTGCCTTTGTATTTGTGAGGCACTTTGTTTTCTTTTTATAAACCATTGTATATTGATTTTAGGGTAGGTTCTTTGGAGACTTTGACTCTATTTGACCTTATGTTGAAGGTCACTCTTTTTCTATTTTTGAGTAGTAGAAGTGGGGTGGCAATTAGCAAGCCTTGAGGGTGTGACTAGCAATTGGTCCTAGGCAAAATTTTACATATTGGACTTATTTTTCTCCTAATTTTTTAAGGATTTGATTTAGCTAGGTCTCATCATTTTTGGATGAACCTAACTATAAACCAAATCAAGCATTTTAGAAAATAGATTCATGGAGCAAATGAGTGCAAGGCCACCTAGCTTGCCTAGTTCTTCTCTTTGGCCGAAATTACTTCTACACTTTGGAGCCTTAGGAAGCTTGTGCTACAAGCTTCTCATCTAGCTTGCTTCCCAAGCAAGCTAAGTGAGAAGCTTGCTCCACAAGCCTCCTAAACTAGGATGGCCGGTCAAGCAACCAAACCATGGTTCCCTTGAACCATGGTTAAGGTTAGCTTGCTCCCTAAGCTACCTACTTTTATATATTTGTAACCCTCTCATTTTCCCTCACTTTGATGAATGAAATCAGAAATTCTTTTAGAACTCTCTCTTCCCAAAGCCATAGAAATCGTGGAGAATTCTCTCTCTCCATAGGAACTCCACAAAGGAATTTCTCCTTTGTGTTTGGTTCCTCAAGTTTCTCATCTTCAAGGGGAAACCAAGCCACTTTTGGTTGCATCTTCAAGCTTTGAAGCTTAAACATATTCTATCCTCCATTGACATGAAGTACCTCAAGAGAAGAAGGGACATAGAAGGTGGAGCTTGAAGAAAACATCAATCATTCTTCAAGAGTTCTATAAGAATTATAAATGTTGAGGGGTTCAATATTGAGAATCATGTCCATTGAAATTGTGACATCAAAAATTGCATGCACAAGTTCCACCATGATTAGAAACTATGCTACAACAGGGATGCTAGACGGACCAAGCAAGTCTAAGCTCTTGGCTTTGGTATTAGCCTTACTAGCTTGAGCAGGACCTTTAGATTGAGGCTCCCCCTGAAAAACAACTTAGGGTTCCTCCTAAATTTGTGCTTGGGACTCCTCCTAATCTAGAGTGTGTGTCTCTAAGAGAGACAAACTAAGATCAACTTTTAACTATTGAGCCTCTAGAGTAGTCAAAGTAGCATATGTGAAAGCCTATTGCTTAGCTTCCTTAATAAATTAAAGCTTTAGACACTTCACATTTTGCTCCTTCTTTGAGTCCCTTGAAGCAAGGGCAGGTTTTAAGCCACACACTAGGCAT